AGGAAAGCAGAAATAAAGACAGGTTAAAAGGAACTCTCTTAGTAAGAGAACAAGAAACTTAAGAGTGTAAATTGGCAGGGAAGATATGCAAATATTAAAGAACAGTCAAAGAAGTACAACATGCAAGCAATCAAAGTGTTAGGAAGATGAACCAACTTGGGAAAATTAGCCAAGCATTGTTGAAAAAGGACTTTCTGAAATGGAAGGATATGAGTTTTCATATCAAAAGGGCCTGGCAAATGGATCAACATGGATCCACATTAAAATACAAGCACATGAAATCTTGAAAAAATAAAAAGTCCTATAATCACAAAGGCTATTACTTCTTACCAACAGCCATGGAAACTAAAAGAAAATGATTAATGTTTTTAAAATTAGAAGGTGGTGATTCCAATTTTGAATTTTATACCCAGCTAAATTATCACTATTAGCACAGACACTCTTATTCAGATGTGAAAAGTCTCTAAAAGTTTACCTCCCATGAGCCACTAGGAGATACACACCAGCAAATCAGGAGTAATGCAAGAAGAATAACATGGCATATATAAAGTCAGAGATCTAACCAAGGAGGACTAAGGGCATCCCCAGGGGGAGAACACAGAGAGATCCCTAGATGTTGGCAGGAAGCCTGAAGATCAACTAACCCATAACAAAACAGTAAGAAGTCTTCAGAAAGAAATTTCTTCAAAAAGACAAAATGTGCCTAAGAAAAGAATAAACAAAGAAATGTGTTTTAAAATATAGAGGCTTGGGATAAATATGAGCTATATTCAGAAAAAAAAACCAACCAATGAGAAAAAATGCATATGCACTTATGTGCGTGCACACACACACACACACACACACACACACACACAGACAGACATGATAAGTATTAACTCCAGAAGAAAATGTAAAGGTTGTAAAGAAGTAAAGAATCATAGTGCTATACTGTTCAGCTTTTAAGTGTGTTTATACTCATAACTATGCAAACTCTGAATACTGATCAAACCAAGAATATGAAATAAATGTATTGAGAAGATAACACACAGAGGAATGTTGTGGGGGTGAAACAGAGGGCATATGTAAAATCCTTGTCATTTACAATAGAATAGATAATGCTGCCTAAGTTTTTAAAAGAAAAAAAAATGAGAAAGTAGAAAAATAATGTTCCCCAGAATTACAGATGCAAAATTATCAAGAGAATCAGTTAAAGTAGTTACAAGCTATTGCTTCTTGGTACAGAGAATTCAGGTGGGGCTGGGAGGGCTAATGCTTCCAAGACAATCTTGCAGAATTATTTGACTCCTAAAGTGATGTGTATGTATGACTTTGACAAAAAATAAAAACTAACTGAAAAGTAGAAATAACTTGATCTGGCAATTTAGATACAAATAACAAAAGGAAATGGGGGAAATCTTCTATGCCACAGGTAACAAAAGAACTGCAAATGAAAAAGTGAAATGCCATCTTCTGACAAATTGGCAAAGGTTAAACACTTTGATAATTCCCAGAGAAGCAGGCACTTCTCAAAGTAATTCTGAAACATAAGCTGGCATGAAGTTTATGAAAGGTAATTTGGCCATAATATGCTCATGTTTCCTGACAGGGCAGAAATGAACCAATACGCAAAAATGAATAAACAAAGATGCTCACCCTAACTGACACAATCCAACATTTAAAAGTATCTAAATACCAACAAAAAGAGGCCAATTAAAATCAATAACAATACAGTCATTTGCTAGAATACTGTGTAACCATTAAAAAGCACAAGCTAGAAAATTATTTAATGGCACCGGAAAATGTTCAGGACACATCGTTAGATGAAAGTAGAAAGAAAATGTATGAGCTTGATCACACACGCCACACACACACACAGCAAACCGAAGGCCAGAGACGGTTTACTAAATGTTGGCAGTGGTTATTATCTTTGAGTGGTGAGACTGGGAAGATTGGTACTCTTCTATTTGTTCTTTGCCATATTTTACAAGTTTTTGCAATAAACAAATATGTCTATTTTTCATGAAAAATTAATTAAAATTTTTTGAATAATACATTTTATTGACTGGCTTAGGCTCTTTTATGAGGGAGTCACGTGACTTCTAACTGTGCTCCGTTGAAGGTGGTAATCACTGCGCCTCAATTCAAATATTGGCAGTGGGGATGCTGAAGGGATGCTGGTGTGAGGCAAGCCACAAAGTCCTTGTGGTCAGTGCACCATGGGTGAGGCCAGAGAGGAGGGACTTCTCTGGCCAATGATGCTCTCCACTTGGAGAAGGGGACACCGGCTGAGGCACAGTCTCTGCTCTCTGCCGCCATGGGGGAGGTATGGCTCTGGCCTCGCTTGCTCTGAGACCCTCACAACCACTGAGCCCTGCTGACAAGCTCCGAAGCCATCAGTCTTGGCATCCTCTAGCCCAAGCTTGGCCCCTGCCCCAGGCACACAGCATCACACAGTACAACCGAAGATGAAGATGCAGAGCTCACCGGGCAAGGAGGCAGCATCCCTGCAGCTATCTGCCTGTGCTCAGCAGCCACTCCTCCAGGGCTCCTTGCTGGACCTTCTGAAAGAAGAGGGGCAGGTCACAGAATAGAAGTCCAGCAGCTCAAGCAGTTCCGGGGGTCCTGTAGCATTCGAAGAGAGGGGACTTGGACAGCATGAGTGGTGGGCAGTAGCTCAAACCTGGGGAGGGGGACACATGGGGCACTTGAGTGCGTCTGCAGTCAGGCGGGGGTCTGGGGGATCTTCAGAGTGACACAGATGACAGAAGGTGTGAATTGGGGAGCTACAAGGATCTCAGTGAGTCAGGGACAAGACAGGAAGGGCAAGGACAGAGGTGAGAGCAGGACAGGACTTGAGAGCCACAGGAAGTTTCTCTCTGGGGTGCAGCTGGGAAAGGGACAGCAAGAGAGGGCCCTGACCTGCAATGTGCAGAAGGGGCAGAGCGGAGGGAGGCTCAGGATCAGCCCTGGCAGGACCCAGGAGTTTGGGGTTGAAGGAGAGGTGGGAGGTGCAGTGGCCAGCGTGGGGGAGGCCATGTGAGCCAGGGCCCCACGGGGAGGACAGGCTGGCCGAGGTGACCCACACACTGAGGGTCAGGTCTGTCTTACTGTTACTGCCACTGTGCTCAAATGTTCGTAGAGCTGAAATGACCAGAGTCCTTATTTATAACACCAGGCAACGTGGCCTACGAGCAGCTCCTTTAGTTTATTATCTTCTTTTAGCTTTTTTTTTTTTTGAGTACTCAGGGTTGAATCCAGGTCTTCTGCACCGAGTTACCTCCCCATCCCCTTTTTAATTTTTGAGACAGGATCTCCCTAAGTCACTAAGTTGCCCGCACTTGTGATCCTCCTGTCTCAAGTTCCCTGGGTGCTGAGGTTACAGCACCACCAGGCCTGGCTTTGATCTGATGTTTTACAGACGCCATGTGCCCATAAACGCCGCCCACACCTACCCGAGGTGCATCCAGGGGCCTGCTCCCTGGCGCCTTGCTTCCCCGCCAACTCCAACTTCAGCTTCATCCTGGATCTGCATCAGGTGGGCTGCTGCCATGCCACTCCACCCTGGACATGCGGGCTCCTTGCTGGGGAGAAACGCACTGCTATTAAGGACTGGTAGGCACCACCAAGGCTCTCAGTGGGCACAGGGGGCAACCCTGGAGCAAGTGGGCAACAAAGGCAAGGCTCTGGGGTCAGGCAGCTCAGGGGGCCCATAGTGGATCCACATGCCCAGGAACCCACATTTCCTGGAACAGGGGGTCCTGGTGGGTAGGACTGGCCCTTGGCAGGAAAGCTGGTCAGGCTCCGTCTTCCTGATGAGCAAAGCAGGAACTTATGCCATGGGGCTGGGGACTGAAACTTCCACTAAGAAAGAGGCCCTGGCACCAGACAGAGCTGTCCCAGCCCTGTGCTGAGAGCTCTCTGCCTAGGAAGAGGAAGCAGCGCCAGGGGTAGTGGGGACACGGACACAACCTGGGCAGGGATGGCTCCCTTTGCTCATGAGGAACCTGTTGCTGAGGCTACAATGGGCAGTTACTGCCCGAGGCTCATATGAAGGGAAGAGGAAGTATCCGAATCAAGGTCAGTGGGGATGCTGAGCCTGCCAGTCTGGGGAGTGGGGGAAGCTGGGCACAGAGGCCACCATGGCTCGCTCCAGTGGGAGAGGTTCCTTACACAGGGCACATGGCGCAGCTGGAGTGGAAGGAGCCAGGGACATGGGACCATGCACCTTGGACCAGGCACTGTCCGCCTGCCCCACACACATTCGCTCTGGGACAGAGTCCCATACCATAGCCACATGCTCCCTGTCCCTGTGTGGTGCATGGCACAGGAACGCTGACAGAAGCCAAAGAAACCAACTTCCCTTCAGTGGTTGAGTGTCCTGAAGAGTTCTCCCCTGGCATCCTCCTGGCAGAGAAAAAAGGAGTCGAAAGAAAACAGGAGACTGAGGATCGCCCTGGCCTGGAGATCACTCAAGGCCACTGTCTACTCACGGAGGACAGCAGGGACAGTGGGGCAAGAATGCTGCAGGTCAGGTGTTCACAGCCACCTTAGCTTCACCTCTGCCCTCTGGCCTCCTCACTGGCTCTGCCCTGGGTACCATTCGCAGCTTGGGCACAAACTCCAGGTTCACCCACCTCTCACACATCCATCCCATGGATTTCAGGACCAAGTTAGACTCCCTGCTGGCTTTGGGTGGATTCGAGTTTTCAGCCAAATGCTTGAAAGAGGAGCTGAGGAGGAGATGGAGCTCACTCGAGTTTCATCAGAGAATCAAAAGCTAACCGCAGAATTCTGCTGTGTGAACGGCCCGCTGCTGAGAGCCAGGGCTGGGTTTTCCATCTTTCCTCCTGGCCTTCCGTGAGGAGGAGGCACTGATGACCCCACCAGTCAGACTCAGCTCTGGCCGGTGGCCACTGGGTTTCAGGTTTTGAAAGAGGCCTTTTGCAAAATGTTCAGTTTCAAGCCTTCATCCAATTGCCCACATCCAGTCCAAACTTCCTGGGGGAGTGAGATTTATTTGAGAAGGGAATGAAATCCCCATACTCATGCCACTGAGGGAAAACATGCTCCATCCCAGGCAATTTCGAGGGTTAGGGTTACATATCTCCTAATGAGCTGCAGGCAGAGGCTACAGTGGGGCTGGCTGGGAGAGAAGAACCAGCTTGGAGGTGTGGCTTTGCCACGCCAGGGACCTGGGTCCTTGCCAAGGACATAATTTGTCTCCGGTACAACTTCACAATCATCCCTTTGTGCATTCACTCACTCCTTCACCCCGCCAGCCCCCCTACCAGTCAGCACTTCTGTCCCAGGCTCTGCACTAGACAGGGGGTCAAGGACCAAGCACCCACCCAGGCGGTGCGAGGTCCACTTGGGGTGGTGAGCAAGGAGATGTTTCTGAGAAGGGCTCAGGTTCATGGCCCAGGGGCTGCGAGGAGAGTTTATGGGAGAACAGGTGGTGGCGAGAGGGGCTGAGCCAGGAGGCAGAAGGAGGCCAATGAGCTTGGACCTTATTCCCGGGGCCTATGGGAGCTCAGACACCTGGGCGGGACACCAGCTCAAGACGAGGGAGGCTTGGGATGCACAAGGGTGACAATGGCGATGGTAGTGGTAGAGCACAGAATGAAAAAAAGGGACTCTGGCATGGACTCTCAGGAGCTGAAGGGGAGGAGGGGTGTTCTGGTGGGGAATGAGCCATGGGGGCTGTGTGGAGAGGTGCTGGGGTGACGGCTGACACGACGCACGCCCGAAGGCAGGCTGGCACAGAACACTACAACACCATTGCAACAGGACTGTTTCTTTGGCAACCATCTGAAGAATCTCACAATGAAATGTAGTAGAAGGAAAAGAAAAGGTCAACTCATAATCTATTCTACCCTTAGTCTGTCATCTGCCAAAACATCTAAGACAAATGCTACAGAGCTGAAGCAGGGAAGATGAAACACTTAGGAGCCTGCTTTCATCTTCATCCACGTGGGGCTCGAGGGAAGGGTGTGCTGGGCTGCCCACAGCTGCCCCAAAGCACCACGCAGAAACCCACGTGCACTCATCTCCCTTTCTTCCAAGGTCGTCCCAAGATCCAGCCCACCTAACTCCAGAAATCCAAAGCCCCTGGTGGCCTCCAAGCATGGCTACACCCTTGTTCCTCTTTCAGCACCTCTTCAAAGGCACAGAGGCAGGAGTGGGGGTTGGGGGCTCAGGACAAGCTGCACTGCCCAGGCTCACAAAGCCCCAGCAACTTGGATTCATATCACTGTCACCGGTGTAATTAAACAATTTTTCAGTGGACCTTTGTTTAAAGTCTAATTCCCTCAAGGTCAGGGGTGATGTCTTTCTCCTCCCTATCTGCTGTCCAGACTTTGGTACTAGAGGAGACTCGGTCTTTTTGGAATACATGAAAGACTGCCGAGCATTGCCTGATGTCCAGACCTTCTGGTGGGCTATCGAGACAAAGACCCTGGTCTTGAGAAGTGCAGAGGCCTCCCTCTGGGAGAAGTTTGCAGTTCATAATTAACCTTGTAACATGGGATGACTGCGAACGGGTGGATTTATACAAAGGGATTGGGAGCTAAGAAAGAGGGCAAGAGGCTATGAAAGTATGAGGTAGGTGGGTGACTTGCAAGTCTAGGCAATTTGGGGGAAGGATCCAAAAACTAGAATTAACTGGAGGTTGCTGAATGCTGTGAGGCCGGAGATTCTAGTGGAAACCCTCAGTGGTGGCTTGCTGCCCAGCTGCAGCTGTAGAGGGGCCACCTGCCACCAACTCTCTCACCCCTTCTCTAGAGGAGCTACCACTTGCCCAAGCAGGAAAGAGCCAAAAATGATAGGAGTCCAAATGACAGTCTTGGGTGTCCATCAGCAAGGGGGCGTCGATCTGACTTGTTCTGAAGTAGGAAGACTCATGATTTGGGCCCAAGTCCTATTTCATGAAGGCGTCGGCTGCTTCTCACCCATCAAATGGCCAAGCCCCAAAGACCAAGTCCAAAGGAGGGACACAAGGCCATGTCAGTAGCCCATCCAAGGCAGAGAGGACGACGGACAGTCAGGGTTGGGCACATGTGGCCCCGGACACACATCTGCTGCAAGCAGGGGAAGGGCGGTATGGAGGGGTGAACAGTGGGTGGCTCTCAGGCAGGTGCCTCTTGGAGCCAGGGTGTTGCCAACTCTCTGTTCTTGTCCTCTGCTCCTGGGACAGCAACATGTCATACCGCCTCCTTGAGGGTGCATGGCCTGATGTGGCCTGGCTCATCCAAACTGGCCGTGCTTGCAGAACAGGAGAATTTGGGAGCTCCTAAATAAACGTAGATGAAATCATCAGATAGGATAGGTACTTCAGGTAGAGATAGAGAAAAGTGGCCTGCAACATTTCTCAGGCATCTTTTCCTCCCAGGAGTGATGACATGGACCTGACACAGATTATGTCATCTAAGGGCCTCAACAATAAGCTTTTGTTCAATAAGACATTCAGATGGGTGTCCTCCTTTGGCAGATGCTTAACCTGAGGTCCCCCATTGGGAGATGGGGGTTTGGTTTGCTTGGAAAAGCAAGGACTCCAGGGCCTCACTCCCTGGAGGCACAAAAACAAGACAGTGTTATTTTTGATCTCTCTTGGCAAGAGGCAAAGGCAGCTTTCGGGAAGACCCAGGGCTTCCATTACTCCATGCCAAGCCAGCACTGCCCAAGGATGGGCTGTGGTCCAGGGCAGTCAGGACTGCCAGTATCCTGTCTCATCGCCTGGCACAGGAAGCTGGACTCAAGAGAGAATCTGGACTCCAAAGGGAGGATGCTACAGACCATCTGACACACTCACACTTCTCCAAAGAACAGCTCCCTGGCCACGCGGGTCCCACCAAAGCACTTGTATTTTTAGTTACTTGCTCATTCATTCAGCAATAATTTACTGGGCGCCTACTAGGCTCAGAGCTGGGTAGGCACTAGGGAGACAGATAATTTGACCCAGTTCCCGGTCCTCCAGGCACTTCAGCTCAACAATGACAGGAACATAAACATCCAGGATGGAGTAGGCGGGGGCTGCGGCTGGGATCTGTGCTTCAAGCATGGCTGTGCTCTTTGGAATATCAGGGAAGGACTGGAGCTGCCAGCCAGCTCACTCACTGCCTTGCACACGACCAGCGCAAGCGCTCACCCATTTACTGACAGACTCACACTTGCACTCACTCATTCACACAGCGGGTCATTTATTCTTGTTCACATGCACAGGACTCATGCACTCACCACTCCACTCCTCCTTCAACTTCGATGCATTCATTCATTCTTCCACTTGTCTGCTCCTTTCATTCATTGCTGGATTTGTGTCCTCAGTGGATGCAGTTAGATCCTCCTCTTGCACTTCCGCGTGCATTCATTCAGTCACTCACCTGTGACTTGTTTGCTCATTCACTCATTCATTAGATACACGGACTCATTCCCCCATTGTTAGACTTGAGCAAGGACCTGGGCATTCCTTTATTCCCACAGCACTGATTAAATTCCCTTTACCCGCTAGTTTATGAGCCCATTCAGAGATTCACTGATTCATTGATACTCTCATGCACCCCCATGCTCATTTTTCGGTTACTGACCCACTGATCTGTTGGTGTTTCATTCATTCACTCAAGGACTCAGTCTTCCTCACTCGTTCACTCCATGCTGACCTCCTCCTGTTCATATGGCCTCGTCCACTCCCCAACTCACCATGCCATCAATTCACTTCTTGATTTGGTCACCAGTGAACATGTTGCTTTGCTCATTTGCATGATTCCTCACATTCCCATTACCACATTTATTTAATTCCTTTGTTTCTCAAATACCTTTAACTCACTAATCCACTATGTCATTAATTCATTTAGTCCTCTTTTATTCATCTACTTGTTCTACAAATGTTATCACGTGTGCTCTATGTATGGGGCACAAAGGATGGGGTAGCAATTCAGGTCAACCTAGTGCTTTTGTTATTGGCTCAAGATTCACCTCTTCCTCAAAGCACCTGGGACTTAAACCTCAGGCAATAGCCATCTTCCTGTGCCTCTGGCAAGTCCATCCACAACATTGAACTGTTGGGTTTCTAAATAGGGATGGAATCTAATCCTCTAGAGCTACTCAAAGACAGGATTAAATGCATACATGAACTGCTTGCCTGTCAAAGGATCTGACAAGGATCATAGACAATAGCTGTTGAGCCGAAATAAATACTTTAAAATCAATTATTTTAGCATTCTCTCTGATACCAACTGTCAGAAAGTTTTAAAAAATTTTAATAGGATATGGAAGCCTCTCATCTGCAAATAAACAAGTGCATTACAATTTGTGTCTGAGATAGGAAAATAATCCATGTAATAATCCATGAAAATACCATGTAAAAATTCCATACTAGTATGGTTCTCTACACTCTCTCCTATTAAAACAAAGAGACAGAACCTCTTTCTTCAAAAAGCATTTGAATCTCTTGGCTATGATTTCACCACTTCCGATTTACTTTTTATTTTTATTTTTTAGATTGATTGACTAAGTAATGACAATGGAAACTCTAGGAATCCACAAAAATACAAGACAATAAATTTTTAACATGTGTTTCTCACTTCTTTATATTCAGAGGTAACAGATCAAATCTTTTAGGTTAAGTAGATTTCAAAGAGGCAAAATTAAGTTTATCATTAGTCTTCATGAAAAAAAATTATTATTAGAATAATCTTAGTAACTTAATTTTCTCTATGTATGGACTTTTGTTTATTAACTTAATCATTTTCAAAAGAAAAGTCAACAATAAAGAATCCACAGCCAAAGAAGATGAAGGGTATTGACTTATTGAGTCTTTCTATGGACTCTGCCAAAGTTAAACAAATCCTACATTTGTGCTATAATCTCATGATTGGTATTAGAGCTTGTGTCTCCATGTCCCCCCAGAGCCACATGTCCTCATAGGTGGGGAGGTCATTGGATGGGGGGGTATGATCATCAGTGGATGAGCCCTGTGATGAATTTACACATAACTGTGATTTGGGAGGTAAAGCCCGCTGAAAGGAGATGGCTCAGTAGGGGCGTGGACTAAAAGGTCTGGCTTCGCCCTTCCTCCCTTGATGGCTCTGCTTCCCAGCTGCCATGCCAAGAGCTGTTTGTCTGCTGCCGTGCAGCCCTGCCTTGGAGTCAGCTGACTATGGACTAAAACTTTTACAAACTGAGCCAAAATAAACCTCTCCTCCTTTAACTTGTGGGTGTCAGGTATTTTTATCCCAGCCAAAAGAAAGTAACTAAGATAACTGGCCCCACGTGAACATTCTATTCAGCAGCACTTTTACCTGTTTATGTGTTATTTTCAGTAGAATCATAAAACCCAAGGGAAACACAAGGCAGGAAGATCTGTGTGGCTAAGACTAGAATCTGTCTAGAGTCAGCAATCTGTCTACAGAGTCTAAAACAATTTTTTTCAAGGATCTCAGTTTAAAAAAATGAATTAAATGTGATACTTGTCAAGAAACATTCTTATGATTGGACTATACACAGCCTTGTTTCATCTTATGATTACATTGAGTCATTTTATTCTTTTTAATGACATGACCTGTAACAAAAAGGCCAACCAAGAATAAAAATGTAACCTATTACTACTTACCCTGATCTGCGCTGTCCATAGTCACATAAGAAATGCTCAAGATCTTCATCCTTGAACGATGATTAAAGATGTCAAGATACATCCATTCTGTATGTACAGAGCAAATACAAAGAATAAAATATTCTCATTATTGGGAAGTGTGCTGTTTTCATTCATTTAGTTCACCATTTATTTGTTTAACTGGCTTTTTTTTTTTCATAATGAGCCTAACACCCAGAAAAGGACAGCAAACTAAGAATAGAACAATTATCGAACATACCTAGCTGTTTTTACACCAAAAGGTAACAACTTTAACCTGTTTTTCCTTCCAGAGGACTAAGGCATCCCTTGCTTCGGTCCATTCATTAATCATTCATCATATCAAATTAATTTCTATGAACTGCATAAATAGATCCTTGAACTTTCCTGAAATCATTTGCACCAAAGTTAGCCACAAATTCTTTTTTGCACTGGATCTCAGGTCTCAAAAAATGATTGACCATCATTTTTACTCAGACACACTCCATTTGCATCTCAGACCCAGAGAGGGCCCGCCTGCATCTATCTCAACAACATATAAATGTCACAGTGAGCAGCCAGGAGCCCACTGTCCCTTTCAACCATGGGGTTCTGACTCCCTAAAGTCCTGACAGCCTTGAACCTTAGCAGGGGAAGAAAGTTTAAATAATCAAGAAAAAATCTTAACTTCTCACGTTTAGTGAAAAAGCTGAGTTTTTCTCCTCATACTTCATTTGTATTAAATTGGATTAATTTTGATTCATAACACATTCTCATCCTAAGCCTATATGTGGCCTCCTGAAATTTAATTATCTTTTGTAATGATGGTGGAGACCATGAGCTAACAATTCAAACCAAGAACTTTATTACTTACAATACAAGGTATTCTCCTCACCCAGACGGACAAGGCAAAGATCTTCATGATTGGAGAATAATTTAATCAGCTATGGTGCTTGCATCCTGAGGAATATAAAGAGGACATTAACAAATGAAAAGCCCAGATCTGGGCTTAATTTAGTGAACATGAAGTACCCATCCCAGAAATTAATTATAAACAATGATTTATGCCACATTCTTATCTCTGGCTCACGGAAGAGGGCCTGCATTTTATTACTTAATGTATGTAGTTATCCATTTTAATAATATTATGAACACCCTGAAAGGAGCCACCCAGCATGAGAACAGTGACTGTTTGAGCTCTTGACACCATGTCCCCACCCAGAGTGCAGAGTGCGGAGCTTCTCTCTGGTGGCTCCTGCTGTGCTGAGCCTCACGCTGGGCCTCACAGGCAGAGCACCCTGAACAGACCGCCCCAGGAAGGCAGACACACTGATTGTTGCACTGAGCCCCAGAGGACTTAACCATTCCACAACGGTTATTAGCTAAAGTGTGTTTATTCTGCAGAGTGGAAAGCAGATGGGGACGGGGGGAGGGAGGGAGAGGAGAAGAGAGGAGGGGAGGGGACGGGAGGGGAGAGGGAAATTCTTTCATGACTTCAAAAAATAAGATAGGTGAATAATAGGGGGAATAAGATAAAATCTCTCCATTGTATATACTGATATATACTAATATATTGCATATACTAATATATGCTAATACATTTCCCCTTAATTTACTCAGCTGTTAATAATTGGGTGCTGAGGAGTTCATGAAATTGTTTATTCTGGGTTCTCTTAGTAAACTTGAACTCACCTGTCTAGAGCATGAGACTGACATCACTATTCTTTGCCCATATGATCTTTACCTAACTGATTAATTTATTAATGCACCTGAGTGCTCATGCTATTAAAATAATATAATTCCATAGTACTACTCTTCATCCTTAGTGCATTCCACACTTTCATCCCCGGTTCTCTTCAATGCTATGGACATGTGGAGATGCTAATCAGCTTTTTAAAGACACAAACAATACCTGGAAACAAACCACCCACCCAAAGGACGAAAACTCTGTGCATTCCTTACGTGGGTCTCTCTGCTTTATAGCTGAGGACCCAGCAGCCAGGACATTAGTCACTAGGGTCCAGCCTGGAGAGCACAGTGTCCAGAGACATACTCCAGCAGACTGCATTTTTCACTCTAACAGTCTAATGCCAGGAAGCAGGTGGATTTACATTCAGTGTAAATTTTCAGCCACACCCATCAGCAAGTCAAGAGTACCCAGTCCCCGGTTTGGCATTAACAGTGGGCACATTTGAATCGGCCCATCTCAGTTGCGAGCAAGCAGCGGCCACAAGCCCCCCGGCGCCAACCTCTCCACCTCACACGCACCGCTTAGCTGTCTGGACCCCGCATGCGCAGAACTGCATCCATCTTCATGATTGCTTCAAAGAAATTTTGTGCCAGGGAACAATATCTCATCCTATTGTTTTCTTCATCCATGGGTGAAATAATCTGGCCACCAATTTATGCTTTTTGAAGAGGTAAACGATGTTTAAACTTGGAGAAAGCCGAGATGTGAATGAATGTGCATAAATCTCCCATTCTTATCAAAAACCTTGTAAGAGCCCAAATTTTGCCTTAGAAAGAACATAATCTCAGGAACTGATTAAATCAGAACCATTATTTCAACACATGCTCATTATACCCCATATTGTCTTCCTTTTAGACTTTTGATTATTATACTTATTCATTTGTTCACTCTGAAGATAAAATCAGGGCCTTTTACATACTGAAGACAATAGTACCATACGCACGTTGCTTGTTACTGAAGTGAGAGCAGACGATGTCACTTGGTAAAGGAAATTTAGTGAGCATAATCATTCTTGTTATCTAACAAATTTTTGTCACTGACCACCTTTAATTTCGATAATGTTTAGTCTTTTATCATGTAAATGACTTTCCTATGTAGTAATAAAATAACAGCCAAAGATAGCCAAAATATGAACAGTGACAATTCACACATCTGTCTACATGTTCCTCATTCTGAGAAATTAAAAACAAGAAAAACATGAATAACAGATTACTGGGACAACTTGTCTCATTAAATGTGTTACGGTTGGGCCAGGCATGGTCATATTTTTATTCACTTAATCCCGTTTCTTGAGCCTTTTCTACACTAATTCTCTGGTAATAATATAATCATCCATAAACCATACAAGTACAAGAATAGGTAAGTGGGTATTTTACAACCGGCTACAAAAGGATGTTTCCAACACAATGACAGCCTAGGTTTCTTTTGTATTGGAACCTTCCTGAAACACAGCCTTGCTCAGCCCTGATTCACAGCCAACCGTCATTACCACTCGCCCAGGATAATGAGCCTTTCTCTTCAGTAATACGTTGTTTGCTATTCATTCATTAATTCACTGCTTCATAATAAAAGAATATACATCACTCAGGGCAAAAAAGAAACAAGACCCATCATATTCCTGACATCTTTCTGTAGATCATTTCTCATGAGAATTGGATCTATTTTTTGACCTCACTGTTTCTCAATCTCAGTGTTTCTCAATATCATGTTTCATACGAAGTTCAATATTGGGCCATGGTGAGATTCCTGGATTGTATCTCCTAGCTGTTCACCATGTCCAAGTGTTGTGGTTTGTACTGAGACGTGCCCCCACAGCCTCATGAGTGGAGTTTTGGAAGGTGACTGAAGGTGTGGTACTCATCAATGGATCGGTCCCGATTATAGCTGACTTCCTGTCAGGAGGTAGATCTGGCTGGAAGAGACAGGTCAATGGGGACGTGGTCCGGACTGGTCTATCTCTTCCATGCTTATCACTTCCCTCCCTCTTTCTGCTTCCCCACCACCACACAGCCCCTCCTCTGTTATGTGTCTCTGCCATGCCTCCCGGCCTTGGAGCCAGTTGACCAGGAACTGAAACCTCTACAACCTGGCAACTCTTAAACAGCCCAAACCAAAGCAAGAAGAGAGACAATTCATCACCTAAGACCACGGCACAGTGCCTAAGTGAGCAGGGCAGTGCCCATTCTGATGAGCACGAGAAAGCAGAGACAAAACCTAAGTTTAGAGTCCACCCCCTCGCCTTTCCTTCAGTTATGTCAAAAGTATTGAACTTACCATTGATCCATGGCAGTAACATTGACTATACTTAATAACAGTGCTTACCAATATGACTCTTAGCCAAGAAGTAAAGCTGTTGGTCCCCATAGGGCCCATTCCAAATTGTACTAATAGTATTGCTTCATTTGCCATATAAGTTAACAATTACAATGTAACTTAGTCTGTTCATCTTTAATCACATCAACATTTTGTTAACTGACTTCCACTGATTGATTTATAGCAATATAATCACAATCCAGACACAAGATCTTTGACTACGTCTAATGCTTACCTATAGGATTTTTCCAACAGAGGGACAGACATTTCTACTGTGTTGGAACTCAGAGCTACAGACATGAACTATGTACTATCCATACTGTCACCACCATGGGCACGCAATGGATCCACATTTTCTTTACTCATAACTACAGATTGTATCTATTAATTCATCATTCAATAAAACATTTACCTAATGGTCACATAACCTTGAGAATAAGATGCTTGACTACCACATCTCTAATAGCTTTCTAGATAATTATTGCTCACAGCCATAAAATTAACCTCGTGTTGTACGCATGAGATAATCAGAATAATGTGCTATATTAATCCAAGTTTTGCAGTTGGGTCAGTGTTTTCCCTCAGTGATTATATTTCATACTTTTTTAATAATACTGTGACCCTTTTGAAATCAGTGGCAGCAAGAAAAGAAGTCTGGCTATTGTTACTCACATGGGCTTCCTTGCTCACCATAGGTGGAGGTGCAGAGATCCGGCCATGGAAGGATGTCAGCAAGAGCATGTCCGTTCTCAGGAGTACATACACAGGAGATGATTTCAAAAGAAAAAACATTGAAACATTATCCACACTGGTCTTTACATTCTAGCTTTCATTGAGTCAGTCATTTAGGTCATTTGAAATGCCCATTTATTTTATTTTCTCTTACATAAACAAGTAGTACTTGTCATGGCACTGACACAAAACATGACTGATGTTTTAACCAACAGACATATATATGAAGTGTGAGTGACAAATATAGCTGAATGCTTAAATTCAAACATTGTATTACAGGAAAAGATGTATTATCATGAAACCCCTCAAAATACTTCCCCTCAATTTGTACACACTTATTCCATCATTCTTGCCCCACTCTGGAGCAGCTCTAGAAGTCTTCCTCATTTGGAAGTATCTTTTTCTTGGTACCGGGGATTGAACTCTGGTCCTTGAGCTTGCGAGGCAGGTGGCGGAACCACTGACTAAATCCCCAGCCCTATTTGGGAGTATCTTTGGTTGCACTGTCCTGAATGTATAAACGTCCTGAATTGAAATGTTTATCTCCCATGGTCATTTTGACTTAGGTAAAAAGCCAGAAGCCCCTCAGCACCAGACCCATCAACAAGGGTTCTGTTTTTTCTACCCTGCCTTTCTGTTGATGGCTGTAGACAGCAGCAGTATTTTGTATTACACCTTGTAAAGACCCTCATGAAAGAGCACTTCCAGAACCACTTCAGAATGGCAAAAATGATAGGATCAATGTGTTTAAAGTGAGGGGGAGAACTTTCAGGGGATCGATGGCAATGTGCCTATTATTGCAATAATTTTTAAATATAAGCATTCACTATATATTTTGATCAGCCCTTGTGCATTCTCAACTGAATATTCCATCCCCACTTGATCACTGGGACACAGTGGCCATCACTGACTATGCAGTGCACTTTTTATTAATACGCTGACTATTCTTATGCAAACCACCCAAACCAAGACCCGGAGGCTGAGCACACTTACACAGGCCCACTTACCCTTCCAGCAGGGTGGACAGAGCACCTGGCCACAGAGGAGTCCTTCAACCCACCCAGTACATCCATTCCAAGGAGCAGAGGGCAGAGAAGACGACAACAAAATTGAGACATTGTTACTACTGATCTCCTATTTCACCCATCTCTACTTGGTAATTTTAATAATCTTTCTTTGGAATACACTGATTTCATTTCAAATTTGTTGTTGGCCCAGAAGTTGATTACTATCTCTAATTACTGTCAATAACCAAAGAGGTTGCAAGGACATAACATTTACTTTTCTTTGCAGATCACTGTCTTCTTCAGCTATCAGTGTAATTCTTGCTTTTCCACATATTTTTAGAATGGGACAACTACCAGGCAATCATTAGAATTTAATGATTCTATGTATGGAATTATTCTAACACTGATGCATCTGGCTCATTACAAACGTTCAGTTTTTCATATACACATTACTTCTCTACTATGTATAACACTGGGAAAGAGTTCCCCATCATCGATTACGGTACGCATGTTTTAAAATTCATTAAGCACTTGCAAGGAAACCACTGACACCAAAATAAGGATAACTGTTACCCACAGGAGTCTTCAAACACAGCACCTGACCATGGAGAGGTCCACCAACCTTAAAAGTATGTCCATTCTGAGGAGTATACAGCGGAAAGGTGTGACAAAGCAAAGGGCTTCACAATACCACATACTTTTAGAACTGGACAGTGCCTTATACATTTTATTTCTATTTATTTATATATTCATTTATTGATTCTCACTGACCCAGTTATGAAAAGAGAACAAAAATATGTAATCACAATTATCAACAAAAACATTTTGTTTTACTGATTCTTCCTACAGGATCATTCAAAACAAAGAGAAAGGACCAGATTTGTCCGATGATGGACCTCATGAGTGCCAGACACATGTGCATCGCCTGTCTCATATACCACTGTGGTCGTGGTTGTGGTCATCATCGATTCAGGATTAGGCCTCTCTTTGTCCAGTCATTTTTATATGTTTCTCATCAGGAATTCACTTACACACTCCTACTGATTGAAAACCTGCTCTTCAAAAAATCCAAGAAAAGCCTTCCTAACTCTTAACCTGGGTATGGAGGCACTCTAACGCCGATACAACGGTTTCATGAATTATACTGCATGCTGCATAAGTAACAGGAAGGACTCCTGTCACTCTCCTATGTTCCACTGAGATAGAGCTGCAGTCTTTGACAATGTTATGCATTTGAATCCACTTAAGCAAAGCCCCCAAACCAAAGCAAGGATGCTGACTTATACTCACATGGTCTGCCTTTGCTCAGTGGAGCACGAGAGCACAGGAGAATCCTCACATCAGAAAAATTCATCCACTCTGAGAATACAGAGCAGAAGAAATGGTAATGAAATGGAGACATTTTTCACTCTTGGCCCCTGATTAGCGCCTTCATTTAGTTAGTAATTTAAGAGTATACTTATTTCATTATCTCTTAGATGAGTAATTTCACACTTGGCAAGGAACCAGAACATGAGCATTGCCTATAATTTCCATTGTCAATATCATGAGCCAGAGATAGCAGGCACATATCACTCCACTTTGACCTACACAGAATTTCTTACTTCACCACATATTTTCATAATTGAATTACACTTATTATTATTAATCTTTATCTACTTATATATTGGTTTATTGGTGCTCATATCGATCCAATTATAAAAACAGGATAAAAAATGCAGGAAAGTAAGGACCACAAGCAAACCCTACCTGTACTGTTGTCACTGGGAAACAGCTGAAATGACCACAAAAGCTCCACCCAAGCCTAGACAAGGAGGCTGGTATTCACACAGGTCCACACGCCACTTCCGGTGCAGACCACCTGACCCTGGAGACTTCCGCCAGTGTGAGCACCATGTCCATTCTGAGGACAGAGCAGAGATGACCACGAGACTGAGACCTTGTCACGATTCGCCCTTAATTTTCATTCATCATTAGTCATCTAGTCAGTATTTTTTGGAGTATGTTTACCTCATTACCTTTCAGGAAAAGGAGTAACTCTGACCTGTGTTTTACCAAGAATATGGATACTGTCTAAAATTCATCCCATCTATGTCATCACTAGAGGGATCAAACCAGTGACAGTCACCCATTCTTAGAAAGAGCAGAAATGAACAAAATTGTGACATTCTCATCACTGGCCCTGATTTCTCCTTTATTTAGCCACTAATTTAGACAATGGTTTATACAAAAGTTAAATTTCATTTTCTTTTAAGAAAATGAAACTTTTCAATCAGGCACATGAGCAAGAACGTGATACTGTCTATAATTTGCATTATCTTTTCTATCATTAGCCAAAGAGGTAACACACAGGTAACAATTTAGCTTTGAGCAAAACTGATTTCAATACATAGAAATAGTATTTTTTTGTCTCACAATCTATTTTTAAAATTAGACAATGATTAATTTTACTCATTGGCATACTTGCTATTGAGCTATTCTAAAAATGGAAATTTCATGGCTACCCAGACCAAAAACAAATCCAACATTGCTGTCATACTAATATTATTTGCAACAGAATTTGACCTTTGTTAAATACCTCAGACATTCGGAAAGAATATTCATCATTTATAATTCATAAGCCACCAGTAGTCATCACCGATACAGGGTTGGTTATCCATTCCTGCAATACATGTTAATTAATTCATTATTTTACTAAAAATTGTAACACCCACATAGCCTTGATGGTCCTGATCTGTATATAGAATTGTGTATACAGTGACATGGGCTTCACTGATTATCTTGGGCCTTCACACACTCTCCATCTAAGAGTTCATATAGCTCTCCTGTCACTGCCATTAGTGGGCGACCATCAATTATATTATGCACTTTTAATGCTACATTAAATAATCTCGCATAGACTGCCTAAGCCGAGATGAGAGGGCTGGCTGCTACTCACACAGCCACCTGCCCCTCAGCACGGGGTGCCCACTCTGTGTGAAGAACAAAGATGACCCAAAGCTGGCACCTTCCCCCTCTTGACCTGTGCTTTTCACCTCTCATTAGTTGGTGGCAGTCATTTCTCAGAGAATATCCACTTCATCATTTCTTAAGATGATGAATAATATTCACCTGCCTCTCGAATGCTGTCTACAATCTATACCTCGGGAAGTTGCATTTGATAAAGAACTGAGAGGTGGCTATGATTTTCTGAAACTTCAGTCTTCATTATTATATATATCTATTGTTCCTTCACCGTATGTTTTGAAGACTGGAGACTGTTATTCCTCTTCTGTCGATTTAATTATATAATTCTATCCCCAACCCTAAGCCTTGCATTGGTTCAATTATACAAACTGAGTGACAAATATAGAACCAAACCAAAACAAATCCTTTGACATTTTAAAAATCTGCCTGCGGGGTTACTGGAAATGAAAGGAATGGGTCAGATTTCTTGAGTGATGGACACCAAGGCAGCAGACATGCACACATGTACTCACCAATCTGACTCCCATGCGATGGTGGGCATTACTGATGCCGTGCTCTGTGCAGATCAGCTCGTTCACTAGTGAGAATTTTACCCACCGGGATCCATATCAAACCATATGACAGTCATTCTAAAATTGCAATATTAGTTCAATTAAATACAGTTGGGTTTTCATTATACACAATATAAATGAAATACTTCATTTGGGTCCCTGATCTTTCACTGGCCATCTTTATGAGCAGTGCCCTTTACTAACACATAGAACCATTCGAGACAAGCCAGGAACTCCGGCTATAACTCAGGTGAGCCAGCACACTCCAAACCAGGATGCTAATGGAGCGCTTCAGCACAGAGGAACCGATCAATCAGAACTAGTCTGTTCTTCCTGGGAAATTCAGAGCAGAGGAGGTGAGAACAAGATTGATGCGTTCTCACGAACGACCCTTGCTTTCACCTTCACTTAGGCCATTAGGCAAGTATATCTGAAGTATATTGATTGTTTTCTCTTAAGTAAATGGACATTTTCAACTGAGCCTCTGAAGCAGAACATGAATGTTGCCTGTAACCCATATTAGCTATGCCACCCAAGGAGGTAACGGGCATGGCAGATTTTTCTTGGGACCACAGCAGTTTCAGTATCCATGGTATTTTTTACTTCACTGCCTATTTTAATAGGTGGATAATATTTCATCGCATTTATCTCCATATATTTACTAACTAATTCTCAAATTGAAAAAAGTGCATGAACACAAAGACTGAGAACAAGTTCATTCTGTATTTTGGACAGACGTGAATGGAACCATTTGAAACAACAAAATTTGACTTCTGTGATAAAGCCACGAGTTCCAGACATATGTTCATCATTTACTCATAGGGTCCCAAAAGTCATCACTACCACAGAACAGATTCTGATTATCCCTATGACATAGTTCACAGCCTAGATGTCCCAAATCTGCACACAGGATCATTCTGTAACACTGATATATCTGTGTATTAATTACCCTCAATTGTTCATTTAAGGACTACCTAAAGAATACTTCAGAGCTGGGGATTTAGTTCAGTGGTTCCACCATCTGCCTCGTGCAAGGACCTGAGTTAGATCCCTGGTACCAAAAAAAAAAAAAAGAAAGAAAAGTAAAAAGAATACTTCATGCAAACCCTGTATCTATCATGGGGACACAACAGCCACCACTGATTACATGATAAGCTTTGTAATAAATAACACATCGAATGCTCTGAAGCAACCAGCACAAGTCAAGATGAGAATGGTGGCCGTTACTCACATTGGTCTAGTGCTCCTTCCCGCAGGTCCAGGCAGGGCACCTGACCTCCTCACAAGTCCTTCCTCCAGCCCCACAACATGTCCACTCTGAGGAGCAGAGAGCAGAGAGGATGATAATCACACAGAGCCCTTCTATTCCAGCCTCGATTTTTACCTGTCATTCATCAGGCAGTCATTTCACGCGGTATATCTCTTTTACTTTCCATACAGAATATGGAGAATTTTGACCTGCCATTCATGAAGAGCTCAGAGGTGTCTATTGTTTGTATTATTGATGGCATCATTAGCCAAAGAGGAGACGAGCATGGACCGCTTATTTCTATTGAGACATCAATGCTCTTAATACATTTCAGTAATGATTGCTTCCCCGCTGCCACACATTCTTTTGAATTGGTTAATTTTGTTTCTATTTAATTATGTATTTGATTATAGATTCTTGCATTGATCTGATTTAAAGGATACTGTGAAAATTTGTAACCACAGAGAAGGATGAAGATATTCTTCTAGTTCTACAATCTCTTCACGGGATCATTTGAAAAAGGGGAAACTGCTGAGATTTCTCTGAGGCTGGACCTCAGAGTTCCAGACTCAGTCACTGCCTCTGACTTATGCCACCAGTGGTCAGCATCGACCCAAGATTGGTCCTTTTTCTCCAATTATTTCTACTTTGTCTCCTAATTAATTCCTTGATTCACTAATTATAAGCCCTGTGATTCACAAACTCAGAAAAGCCTTGTTGTTCCCAAGCTGTATATAAATCACTCTAACATTGATAAATCTATTTCATTAATTGTCCTCAGTTTTTCATATACGCAATTATCAGTTCAGTACTTCCCCTCGCCCCCACATTTATCACAGGGATAGAGCTGACCATCACCAATCGTATCATACGCTTTTCAGCAATACCCTGAATACTTTTAGGCAAACCCTCAAGCGAACACCAGGGGGCTGACTACTCTCATACAGATCCACTCCCCCTCACCCCTGACCAGGGAGAGAGGTGTCCTCCAGTGCATATATTACATTCATTCCGAGGGGCAGAAAAGGGGGGAGATGACAACAGAATCGAGACCTTCTCACTCTTGAACCCAGATTTGCACCTACCATTGGTCAGTCACTTAGGCAATCATTATTTTGAGTTTTGTTTTCTGTCAAGAAAATGAACAGCTGGGCATGGTGGCAGACGCCTGTAATCCTAGCACTAGAGAGGCAGAGGCAGGAGGAGTGCCACGAGTTCAAGGCCAGCATGAAGACCCTGTCTCAAAAACAAAAACAAAAGAAAAGAAGAAAATGAGAAAATGAACAATTCTGAACTTGCCAGTGAAGCACACCATGAATATTATGAGTAGTTTTACTGTCTGTACCACCATTAGGCAAAATGATAACAAGTATGTACCATTTACTTCTCCTTATGAATTATTACTCATTACTTTCAATATATTAAGTTTTTCTTGCTTCACATTTTCATGATCAGATGAAGTTTTACGTATTCTATATTTATATATAATGTTTTACATATTCTATATTCATATGTGGATTCTTTCATTGAGCAAATTATATGTAGTATTAGCTAAAGTTTAAAACCAAATGTACTCTATATCCTGGCAACTATCTACAGGACCCCCAACATAAGGCCAGACATTTTAGGGGCAGCACATGGTCTCTGGATCATGTGGCAGCAGTGGACCAACTAGGATTGGTCCTCTTTTTTATCCACCCACTTTTATAATACAGTGGACCCTTGACTTACCAACTTGATTGCTTCCAAGGGGCTGGTTGGAACTAAGTCAGTATAGCTGAGATCTGGATAATACGAGGCAGATGAATCTTCCATTAACCTAAATAACCCAAGTTGTTTGTACATCAGGCAGGTCATAACTTGAAGGTCCACTGTAATTATTAGTCATTAATTAAATATACCCAGTTTTTCATATATGCATTATTAATATAATGGTTCAAATCAATGCCTACTGGAAAATAGAACAGCTAAAGACATAAGTGTAGGCTATGAACAAAACACTGAGATTCCATCTCACTCCACAAAGAATGGCCATCATCAAAAACCAATCGATACTAGATGCTGTCAATGCCATGGGGGAAAAGGAACCCTTCTCCATTGCTTGCAGGAATGTAAACTGGTACAACCACTGTGATTACTCAAAACACTAAAACCAGAGGTTCCATTTGGCAAAAGTATCCCCTTCTAGGTATCTTCTCAAACAAGTTAAAAGCATCATACCAGTTATACGTACATATCCATGTTTATAGCAGCACAATCTATAATAAGTAAATATTGGAAACAGCCCATATGCCAATCAACAGATGAATGGATAGAGAAAATGTGATGTTTATATGCAATGGAATACTACTCTGCCATAAAGAAGAATAAACTTGAATCATTTTTAGGTAAATGGATGCACTTAAGACTGTAATTTTAAGTGAAATAAATCAGACACACAAGTTTAAGTATCACATTGTTTCTCTCATGTGAGAAACCTAAACAGTAAACAATGAAGGAAATGAAGGGCTGATATTGGGAAGTTGAAGGACATGTTCAAATGGGAAAGGAACAAGGGAGGGAGGAAGAGGTAGGGTAGGAAGAGAAAAGGGATTTTAAAAAGAATGGAAGAAAAAATGGAAAGAAAGCTTGTGGAGGGGAGGGGAATGGGAAAGAAAAGAATTAAGACATATTATGTACAGGTACAAATTCTCTACGATGAATGTCATCATAATGTGAGGGTGAATATGTACTAAGATTTTTTTAATAAATTAAAAGGATGGAGAAGATTGATGTTTAATCTGGCATAACATTAAAAATATGTGTGTATTTATATTCATATACACATACATATCACAACATAACAAGGTGCCATTATATACCAGTCAAAAATAAAACAGAATGAAAATATCAACAGACCTACCTTCAAGTTTGCTTCTTTTGCCATTTTCAATCTTCTAAAAGCCCGTGAATATGTAAATTTTAATTTTGTCATAAATAAAAAAAACTTTACAATGCTATCATGAGTAGCTTTAATTTTGTACCTAAAAAAAGAATCAAATTTGGATTCTGACTCACAATAGTCTCTGCATAGTCTAAGAGCTTCACAGGAAGAGGAGGTCAGGGGGATTCTCACGCCAGCTCGGTGCTCTCTGCTGGAGACTGCAAAACAGACAAGGGCAGCTGTTGATCTGCTGGGTCCTGTGCAAGTTCTGGCCATGGTTTCTTAGGGGCCTCCACACAGGTATCACAGTGTCTGTAACAAAATGCCTTCCCACCAATGGTGGGCAACAACGTCACCTTCCTCCGCGTCCCAACCAACACCGGTCTTTTTCTTTCTTTCTTTTTTTTTTTTTTTTTTTTTTGGGTTTTTACTTT